GAGGGGGGACATGGGATGTGCAGCTAATGGCCTCCATCAACAGCTCCCTCCTTTGCCCTGAGACCAGGAGGTCTGGATGGAGCCCAGGGACCACATTCAGATGCAAGATTCCAGAGGAGAATCCTCCTCTAAAGGAGTGAAGTGCAGAACAGAGTTACACATTCTCATGGAATCCAGGGTTTCTGGAGACACAGAGGCTGGATGAACAAGGAAACATTTGCCCAGAGTTCATCTTTATACCGAAACCCTCACATGTCCCCTGGAGTGTTAAAACGGATCAATTATGTAGCTGAGCTAGATGAAAAGAAGTCTGCGCTGAGCACCAGGCTCTCTCAGAACTATCTACAAGGGATCAAATTGATGAGAGCAACTCAAAAGATTCAATGGGCACCTCAGAGGGCAGTGGATTTATAATATGAAGGTGGGGGGGGGACCCAGGAAAGGAGGAGGAGGATGGCCACACAACTGGAAACATGCAACCAAGGTCACTGAATGGCCCGCGTGGAAACTGGCCAAACGGAGTTTAAGTTTTGCTGTGTGCAGGCTCCACAACAACAAGAGATGTTTTCAAAAAGAAGTAAGCCAGGCAAGCTAAAGAAAGAAAGAAAGAAAGCAACAAGAATGAATGAAGCCCTTGAAATCAATGTATACGCAGGGAACCGCCATCCGGACTGGCTTCAAACACACCCAAGGAAACACCCAACAAACAACGAAACCTCACAATAGCATTCACAACACTACTTGCGTCCCATTTGGGCAGCAAAATGCTCTACCAATTGCCATCTGCATGATTGCAGCCCTCATCTATAAACTAAAGATACTAACAGCGGAAAATCTCAGGATGTCATTTTGAGGGTTATACACTTGACATAGTATGCAGGCCAGCTATTATTTATGCTCATCTGTTATTAATATTTATCAGTCACTATTAATATATTATGTATGTACTGCCATACACTTATATATTAAGTATTCATACCGTTGCAGCTTGTTTAGATAATTCCTGCATTGAAAATTATTCAAATGATATCCAAATATTTTCTCCATATGGTGTCAGGAATATCATCTTGGAAGTCAAAATCCACTGCTCCTTTTTCCTGGGACAAAGTCCATCTATACATTCTAGGTGATTTTGGCCCATACTCAAGCCCCAGTGGCAAAAGCTTCCTGCATTGTTGAGCCAACCTACCAGAAGCCAAGATTGCAATGATGTAATATACAGATTGAGATGGACGTCAATCTATCATTGAGATCATATAAAACACCCCCAGAAGGTCCTTAAGAGAGCTGATCCCCTCTAATAGTTCAGAGACCTCATTTTATCAGGGAGCCGATAGGAAGGAGCAATGATTTGCTGAAAGTTATTTGTACACAGAACTGGGGCTTGAGCCTGGAGGTGCTGCCTCCACAGTGTCAGCTGTTCTGTGAATGCTGGTTCCCAACCCTCACACACGGGCCAGTATTCAATTAAGTGTTGTTCATACATCAGAAAATTGCTGAGCTTTCCAGGGAATTAAAAATAACCCATGGACAGCTAATAATAAGAAACATTACTAAGCAGAAATTTCCTTTGAGAGCTGCTTTCTTCCCCTGCGCAGTTTGGGTGTTTGGCCATCGATCAGCAGAGCTGCACTGATCCAGGTGGAGGCCGTGCAGTGAACAAATAAAAACCCAAATTCAAGCAGGCTGTGCCACCATCGCTTGTCCTTTGGATGGTCCCCCATCCTACCCCACCCCCCTTGCCCTGAAATGTTACCAAGAAGGAGTCTCTTTATCTGGAAATGACACATTTCAAAGTCTCCTGTTTCAATTTACTCAAAGATGTACCGAAACATTCAGCAAGTGTAAGACATACCTTTACCATTTAAATAGTTAGGGTACTTTTGAGAGCCCTGGCTTGTCTCAAATCGCTTTTGTTGCTGTTTTTACTGCAGGTTTTTAACAACTGCTGTTCAGATAGCTTCATTGGGTTTGTCTTAGGCTAGGTTCACTAGAAAAGCAAAATCAGTTATACAGAGATCGAAAGCAAAGAGAGAGAAGTTTATATTTAAAAGCGGCACGCACAGTTGCAGAAGTGAGCAAGGCCAAGTTCAGGTTCTAAGGCCATCGCTCAGGTGTTAGGCTGGAGGCTTCTGCTGACTCAGGTTGATGAACTCCAACGAGACAGGCTGGTCAGCAAACTCCAAATTCAGCAGATCATGCTTGTGGCTGTAGAGGTGGAAAAAAATCCAAAGTTAACAAGTCAGATGACAGACCTCTGATGACTCTCAGGATCAGCGGGTAATCTGGCAGGCTGCTGGCTTAAGTCCAAAGAACTGGAGGACAATGAGCCAGATGCAGGATCCAGACCCAGCAAAAAAGCAAGCAAACTTTTCCATAATGCTCACCTATATGGGAAGCAGGTACAACCCCAAGACAATTAATGCATCGAGGCTGTGACCTGAGTGAAGGTGTTGCTTTCCAACCTAATCTTCTTCCATTGGGAGGCTGACAGAGGATTGGCTATGTTTATATATATTAGGCCACGCATGGGGATTACTAGGTATCAATTGGCAAACCACTAAGAATTCTGGTCCAGCCAAGTTGACAAAAACCATAGCTATCATGGCTGGGGAGAGGGGAGAGTTTTATACAGCCTTTTCTTTTTTTCCCTCTGTTCTTCCTAAAAGTTAAATCTTACCTTTCTTCATAGTTTGACTAATCTTGTTACCCTGATTATGTAAATATTTAATTTTGGCCAACCAAGCCACCCACTGTCATTGTCTATGAACCTTTAGGGCAGGGTAGAACTGCTCCCTAGAGCAGTGGTTCTCAACCTTTCTCAGGCCGCGACCCTTTCATACAGTTCCTCATGTTGTGATGCCCCAACCATCAAATTATTTTGCTACTTCATCACTGTCAATTTGCTACTGTTATGAATCGGGCAACCCCTGTGAAAGAGTCATTCGACCTCCAAAGGGGTCGAGACCCACAGGTTGAGAACCAATGCACTAGGGTTCCTGAGCCTGTGCATCTTCACAGAAGACGAAAACTTTGTCTTTCTTCTGTGGAGCCGCTGGGGACTTTGAACCACTGACCTTGCAGTTAGCATTCCAAAGCATAACTAACTATGCTTCCAGAGCCCCATCTTAATTTTGGCAGTTTTGGTTCTTTATGTCTTTTCACTGTCTCATTCCTTTTTCCATCCATAATTCCAAGTTCACTTTCCCCAAGTTTTTGCTAGATATCGGCCATTTAGCTATATCCGTAAGTTATCAGCCAACCAAAAAACCGAATTCACTGCCAGCGAGTAAATTATGACTCACAGTGATCTTATAGGACAGGCTAGACTCCCTGAAGTGATTTTCTGAGACTGTAACTTTTGGGGGAGTAGAAAGCCCCATTTTTCTCCTTCAGAGCAGTTGGTGGTTTTGAACTGCTGAAGTGTTGCTGTTTGCAGCCCAACATGCAACCAATTTACAAATATAAGTATTTATATAAAATATGCATATATTTATATAAATATGTATTCAATTGTATACATTAAAATAGACAACATAGATATTTTTTCAAAGATAATTTTTGGGGGGCCCTTATAGCGCTTAAAACAATCCATATACAGCCAAGCCAAATAATACGAGTTTATAATATACCACGAGGTCACGAGGGTGGGGAGGAGGAGGGAAAAAAAAGAAGAGTTGATACCAAGGGCTCAAATAGAAATGAACTGTTTAGACAATTTTTTAAATGATAGGTTTATTTCACGATCATCCAAGAAGATCATCGCCATTTGCATTCGACATGGTGCTAAAACAAGATGGATTATGAAATTTTAGGCCCCAGTCCAATAAAGGAAAAGATTTGAGCTCTGGACATATTCTCCAAGAAGCTACTTCTTTGGCACACCCCGTCCAATGTCCCCAAACATCGCTGAGTCATCCCTCCAGCTCTTCCTCCTGCTCTGGCCTGTGCCGCCCCTCCTCCCACTCCGAGTCACTGCCAGGTGTGGCCCTGAGCTTCTCCACAGGTTAGGAGGCTGACAGGTCCCCCCACCCCCACCCCCACCCCCACCCCAGGGATGGAGCTGGCGGCCCAGCAGAGCAGCAGCGGCCCTGCTCCATCTGCGTGGAAAAGGACTCTGGGACATGTGAGCAACAGTTCGGCTTTTCTTCTGGGCTACCAGCCGGCAGAGGCTTAGCAGTCCAGATGCCGAGCCACCCCGACACCTGCCAGGGCCACTTAGGAGCAGCCCTCATCATTGGCTCACACTGCCCTCTGACCCGGGCTCTGAGCTGAAGCCAGGCCTGGTTTTACTCCGTTTGAGATGAGAAAGAGAGAGAGAGTTTATGAGGGGTGCCCATGTGCCTGCGTTCCACTCCCCCTCCAGCTTCTGCAGCTGTGTGTTTTCCTCAGAGGGCCGAGGTCCTAGCTAGAGCGTCTGCTCCCTTCTTTCCAGCTGCCTGCTCCTGGCCTTGAGCCCCAGTCAGACTCAGCTCCATCCTGGACAGGCTTCCTTCTGTCATACACCAGGTCCCCCTGTGAGTCAGAGCTGGCTGGACAGCGCCTAACAAGAGCTGTCACCACTGCCCGGATCACAGATGGAGGAGACGCGGAATGGAGCTCTGGTACCACGAGGACCCAGGCGCCCTGGATTCAGTTTGCCAGACAGGACGTCGGTATCTCCCTGATGCTGGGAGTCGCCCTGGTGTGAAGTGGGAACATCCTGCTGTCACTCAGCGGCCGGAAGGCCCTGTTTAATTAAGAGAGCCCCAGTGGGTGGAGTGCGAGTCTGTACGGGTAGCAGTTGGCCTTGCTGATGGCTGCTGCTTCCCATCCCTGACTGGAGTCCTAATCAGAGCATGGTCCTGGCTCTCACACAGGCACGTAGCCCAGTGACAGTTGGCAGTTCTCTGGACAAACAGGGAAAGCAGGGGACTCTCTGCTGGGTGTCTAGCTCACAGTGTGGGACGTTCCCTGGCTGCAGGGAGGGCCTGGGACCGGGCAGAGGTGCCCTCACGCATCCCAGGAAGGGGACTACCACTAGGACCACAGCGTCCTACAATACCCCCAGGGACACTGCTCAGAGGTTCAAGACCACGGAGAGCTGTGCGTGCTTCACCGGTCCTTCAAATAGCAGGGGATTCCAGAGAGTGTGGGGGGGAAACAGAATAAAAAGGCAATTGGAAAATTTCCCACCGGCTTTTAGAAACGCCCTCATACAAGATTTGTGTAGACAGCCATGTACAGACAGACATCCCCTCCCTCTCACGGACATGGTTAGGTTCCAGACATCATGTCATCTTCTGACAGTCGGCCTCACGCAAACAGAGGGGGTGACCATCGCCTTCCACAACTGCCCAACGGCATCATTCTACAAGCGCCACATGGCAGCAGGGCGACGTGGTCCAGCCAGGCGGACGCACAGCCTTCCCCATCACAGCAGGCGTTGCTCTCACATCCCTACCTCGGCGTTCATGGCTGCCAGACACGCGTCGTCGGTGCACAGTCAGGGGAGAGTAGTTTAAAAAAAACAAACCCACCAACAAATCCATTGTCATAAATTTGAGGGGAGCCCTCATGATATAGTGGTTACAGAGTGGGCTGCGAGCCTCTAGGTCAGCAGTTTGAAGCCACCAGCCAGCTCTGTGGGCGCAAGACGTGGCTTTCTACTCCCATAAAGAGTTACAGTCCCAGAAGCCCACAGGGGCTGTTTTACTCTGTCCTACAGGCTCACCATCGTGGGTAATAAGCCAGATGGCAGTGAATGTGTTGGTAAATTCAAAACATGGGATAACGAGATCATCAGTAAGCAAGGAGTAGGGGTACTTAGCGGGTACTTAGTTGTTGAAATGATCCCTGAGGATTAAAAGAATTTTAAGCCCTCCAACACAGTGGCTGCTTTAGAAGAAATGTTCTATCTACCCCCCACCCCTGCCACCACCCAATCCACACGTTTCCAGACTGTGTCCCACCTCTAAGCTCTCGTCTGACTCCCATTCTCCACTCCCCCCACTGGCATCCTCACCACCCCCCATCCCTCTCTTGGATGATAGAGCACTTGGTCCGCACCATCCCATGCATAGGCATTTGTATGACAGTCGCTGATGCAAAAGAAGGCTTTGGGAGAAGAGGGAAGCCTCTCACAGTTTGTATCCCAACACGCTCTCCCCCCACCCCACCCCCGGGTGCTTATGTCCCTGCTGCTGTCATTAGCTGACTCAGAATTGGCACCCAGCTCGTGGAGAGCCCCTGTGAGGAGCCACCCGGGGCGTGTGCCCTCTCAGGTCAGTCTGGTTGAATTGGTTTCCTGGCCTCTCTTCCAACCCACTCTCTTAGTCGGGATGCTCCACTGAAACTCTGGAGCATCCTGACAAGCTGCCAGCCTCCGCTGACAGGGGGGCCGTGGCTGCCCAGGGGGGCTGTTGGTTGATAATGGAGCCCAGGTGGGCCCATGAGAGGCAAGGACCCCACCCCTGGACCCCCCTCCGTGGGCACCTGGTCTGCTTGCTGCTGAGGGTAATGGCCCGTTAGGTTTTCAAAGGCCAGGACTTTTTGGAAGAAGGTTGCCAGGTCTCCCCTTGAGGCACCCCTGAGTGGGTGTGAACCCCAACCTTTCAGTGGGTCATTGACCACATAACCATCTTGGCCACTGGGGTTCCTGTGGTCTGTGGTAACTTCCTACTGGCTATGTGTTCAAAACAGCCAACACATACAAACTCGCTGCCATCGTGCGGATGCTGACTCACGGAGACCCTGCAGGATGGGGTAGCACTGCCCCTGTGAGTTTCTGAGACTGTAACTCTGTGGGAATAGAAAGCGTCACCCTTCTCCCTCAGAATGGACTGTGGTTTTGAACTGCTGACGCTGCGATTGCCCAATGCGTATCTCAGTCCAACATCAGCAAGCGCTTACTACCTAAGAAGGAAGGAGGGGAGAGGTGCTCTCGATCAATTCATTCCGTTCCCATTAAAGCCGAATTCACAGGGATTTCCCTTCAGGGGCCTTCCCAGGTGTGGGTCACTGCAAACAGAAATCAGCCCCACCACTGGGACGATTGCGGCTCAGAGCAGCCCACGTAGGGTCTCGGAGACTCATCTTTGTCCCTCAGAGTGGCTGGTGGGCTTGAACCTCTGGCCTTGTGCTTAGCAGCTCCACATCTAACCTACCATGCTACCAGTGTTTCTTGTTGTAATAAAAGTCTAAACAAGTCTGTAATTTGAGCTTACGCA